AGAGACTCTAGTTGAAAAAAATTCAGGTTTCCTAAGTGATAACTCCATTTGTTAAATTTATTCTCCTTGTTTTAGTCCAGTTCTTATTTTTCAAGGTTGCTATGAATTGTCTTTTAAGATATTAGTTATTCTAATCCAATTTTGTACCATTTGTTCCTCCACTTATTTTAACCTGGATGCTCCATGCGGTATGCCATGAATGCTTCATGTTCATTATACCCAAACTGTAATTATTTGTGTAATGAAATGTAATTTTGTTCATGGTTGAAGTCTGATACCAACAACAGTATTGCTTTTATACAGTATATGCTTTGACTTTTGTTTTATTTGCTCCTCCACTTATTTTAACCTGTATGCACTCTACAGTATCACCATGTTCATTCACTTGGATTTCTAAATCAGTAGAGATAACTTTAACATACAATGCAGCTTCTGTTTCCTTTCTGTTGCTTCTGTTTCTTTGAACAAACTGGATCTATTGCTATATTGCAGTTGCGGGAAATATCCTGTCCAATCATACATGCCTTTGTGTACTAGGATTTCAAGCTCATTTTATCTCCCATACTCTGTATATTAGTATATAGATAGTAAGGATCATGAACTATGAGTCAATTTTTTTCCTGATTTTTTGTTGAGTTTAATAGGCCCCATAACACCACCACTTTCACATCCCTCTACAAGAATCAAGGCTTTATCCAAGGTCCTTACCTTCTTCTCTCATCCCCACAGTTTAAAGCCCTCTTAATTAAGCTCACTATCTTTGATCAAACACATTTGTATTAGTCCTTGTGAGGCACAACCTATTACTTATTACTTGATGGGTGGGTACATAAGACAGAGATTTAGGTCCTAAGCTTGGATAGGCGTTATTTGTTGTTACAGGTACTTTGAACTTACTCTGTAGCAAAGTGGGCAACCTGAGACCCCACAAAACCCAAATCCTATTTTTGTTGTACATTGAGCATTCTCTGACCAAAAGTATCAGTGGTGTGGTTTCCCACCATTTTGATGCTCAGCTGCACAAAAATTGAGATTCAAAATTTCCAAAATAGGCTTACCACAGTTAAAACAACCTATTCTCCCCAAAACAGAAAAATTCTGGCTGTTTACATACATGACAAAACCTTGCTCACTTTGCAAGGCTACTCTGTCCCTCTTCCCCAGCCCTTTCCCCAAATATCAAGCCCTTCCCCTTGGCTTTTGCCCACCCTGCCTCTCTCTCTCATGAGTATCATTCTTTCTTTTCAAAATCTCCAGCATTGCATGTACTTGATAAGACCTAATCTGCATATCTGAAGGCATTTCCGTCTCACTCAACCTAAGAATAAAAAATTGGCATATTTCTGTCTCTCCCTCCCTTTTTGGGAGGGGAAGTGTTTATCTTGTTGGATAAAGGGTTCTGGCATTCAAAAGCTTGCAGTTACAAAGCTTCAGTGGCTTGTTATTATTATTGGCTGAATAAACTTGATTTCCCCCCCCAGCATCTCATGTATCTTACATGCAGAAAGTTCAACCAGCAGCATGAAACAGTGTAGAAGCAGAACTGGGCCTGTGAGAATTGTGGAATTTAAATCTTGTGTAGCCAGGACTGAAACAAAGACATACGGCATAAGCATTACTGCTTCATCCTGTGAAAGGCATGGGTGTTTTAAATTAATTTATTCTAAGAAACATCCACGTAAAAGAAAGATACAATGATAATTTCTTTTTCCATGAGACTTACAGAAGCAATTTTCAACAAGAGGGTAAATGTGTTATCTGTTTGACAACTGCCTTTCTCCTCACCAGAATTTTGGTTTCTATATTTGCCATGTCATGCCTGTGTCTTCAGCCTATAATTAGAAACTGTCTGAGAAGTTATAAAAAGCAACCAAGATTTACAGGCAAAATTCCCTTTTTCATTCCCATATATGCTGTATGCGTCAGCAGAAAAAAGTCCTGTTCTCAGAACTGTACTTCCGTTAGTTTGTTTTAGCAAGAAGACCATCCTACATACAGCACCAAAACAAACTCTTTTAATACTTTTACTTAAATCCTTGATTTTTTAATATACTTCCAATAGAACCGTATGTTGTAATTGTTATGGCCCTGAATTATAATAATTCAAAATGATTTCATATTCAGAAGACAGCTGTCTATTTGAAGAGCTGGCGAGTCCACTTCCAACTGAAAGGTGAAAGAACAACACACATAGAGGTCTGTTGGCCTCAAGGCAAACTTTGCAGATGGTTTCCTCCCCTCTGGTGTTGAAAGAGGATGAGTGCTGATGCCTCCCCTCCCCTCGGGCTGTGCAGTTGAGTCGACAGGCAAAAGAAAGAATGAACATGTAGCCATTTCTTCCCGGTACAGTGGTGGGCCTGAACCTCATCACCATCGTTGTCATCATCATCATCTATTAAACTTGTATGCCACCTGGCTCTCAACGACTCTGGGTGGCTCGCAGCAATCAAACAAAGAAACTACAATAAAATCAATAAAACATATTATTATATTTCAAATTTTCCTCTTCATTTCTAACTTTTAAATATGTATCTTTAAAATCTCAATAAAATATTATCAACAGATAAAAATGGCAAGCACAATGAAGTGAGAGGTCTCACTCTCCCTTGCCAAAGGCCTCGGAGAAGAGCAAAGTCTTCACAGCTCTTCTAAACAACAACAGAATGGGGGCCATCTGGATCTCAAGGGAAACCTCATTCCAGAGGGAAGGCGCTGCTACAGAGAGGCACACTTCTGGAGTCTCGACAGATGACATTGTTTAATCAAAGGAACTTGGAGCACGCCAACTCTGCAGGATTGAATCTGCCAGGCATATGTTATGGGAGACAGGCAGTCCCTTGAATAACCAGGTTGTATGCCATGTAGGGCTTTATGAGTAATGACCAGCACCTGGAATTGTACCTGGAAGCAAATTGGCAACCAGTGCAGCTTGCAAAGCAGAGATGTTATATGGGCATACTGAGGTATGCCTATTACTGCTTGTGCTGCCGCATTCTGGACTAGTTGAAGCTTCTGGGTGGTCTTCAAGGTCAGTCCCATGTAGAGTGTGTTGCAGTAATCAAGCCATGAGGAGACTACAGCGTAAGTGATTGTCTGGAAGGGCCCCTGATCTAAGAAAAGGTGCAACTGGTGCACAGATGCAATTGTGCAAAGGACTTCCTGGCCACAGCTGACACCTGCTCTTTTCCATCACACAGCTCAAGTGTTAGACTGGGGGTGTGGGGGGTCCTCTACTTCTCCCCTTCAGAAGGCATATTATAGTTGTGCTGCAAATTCCAGTTAACCATTAGATGGCAACAAGGGGTTAATATTTTTTGCATCTTTTTGCTGCTCTGAATGGTAATCTGCAGTTTTGCAGCCCAGATTGGTATGCCTACTACAATATTTTCTCTCCCTAGTTCTTTCATAAACTGTAAGGAGGAGGAGAATGAGAAGAGAGTCACCAGAAGTGATTGTAAGCTGTTAGCACCTCTAAGGGCTCACTTTTCAGTAAATGCGGCTGCTTTCCAATGGCTGCCTTGGAAAGAAGAAACAGTAGTACTTCTCTCCCATGCTGCTCTTTTCCTGTGGCTCCTATTGAGGCCTCAAGCTTTAGACCAGTGTTTCTCAACTCCAGCAACTTTAAGATGTGTGGACTGCAACTCCTGGAATTCCCCAGCCAGTTACAGTTGGAATCCACCCATCTTAAAGTTGCTGAGGTTGAGAAACACTGCCTTAGACTATCATGTCTAGGCTGCAAAACTATGGACAACCATTAGATACGGTAGCAACTCTAATTCTTTGTTGCTCTCTAATAGTCATCCAGATTTTTTTTAGCTCAGGTACGGTTGCTGTATCCTGCAGAATTAGATTTGTTGAAGGCATAAGGCAAGGAGTGGGTGGCAAGGGGTAGCCCAGCCTCCAGACACACACACTGATGTGCTTAGATAACTTTCAGCAGATGGTAGGCTCTTTATGCACAACTGCAGATGTGCAATCATTTTAAAAGCTTTCTTCTCTTTTAAAAAGATTTAATCTTCATATTCCCTTCTTTTTTTTAATATGAACTGGCAATCTCCTTTTCCATGAAGCATTTCCAAACTCATCCGTACCATTGCTCCAGTTCTTTATTAGAAATTAGTACAAGCAACATCTGAAAAGTCCACCACACCACATCTCATTCAAAGCTCACACTATTAGGAAAACGTATAAGGTATTTTATTATTTTTATATTTCTGCAAAATATATGTCTTTCTTTTACTCGTCTCCTGAATCCCTATTCACAAATGGAAACCAACTTAAATATTACATTTACTGCATAATTAATCATAGTTCCCTCTATTTCCGAGCATCCCAGTTCTTATGTAGCTAAAGTGGGGCCATCCCTCCTAACAGGGGCATAGGTTTTTCACAAGAAGAAAGCAAATCCATAATAACTACCCACACATTTAAAAGATAAAGGAGCTGAAAACGCTTTGTGACTACCAAGGTATATCCAAGTAGTTTTTTTTTATATAAAGATTTGCAATAGGGAAAAAGCGAAGAAGTACGCAGAAAGCACTAGCAAAAGAGTTGAAGGTTTGGATCAGGTCAAATGACAACCAGACAGACGCAAACTTTCTAGTTTTCCCCATCACAGCCAACGGTTTTTTCTTACGATAATTCCAGTACATTCCAGGTTTCTCGGATCCCAGCGAAGTGCTTTTTTGCCTGTACTGCCATCTAGCCGTTAAACAAGAAACTACTGTTGTGTTCTCACTGCTTATAGATATAGCGTCATGGACACAACACCTGGAAATGTTTGAAATCGTAAGTAATTTCTTCATCTTCAACAGCTTCATTTCAAACTGGTTTACGTACAGAAATCCAGCAGATAAGCCCTAACCCATTCTATGGTATGTTTGGCTTATGGTGGATATGATACAGGAGCACATGGATTGTGCTTGAGTAATGAAACCACGGGTTAGAGTTATATGTGAACACACAGAGTGTGATAAGCTAAACCTGAATTCATTAGAAAGAAGATTCATGAAGTTGAGGCTCTGCTTGGAAGCTGAACATAATCACCGGCTGTAAGGGAAACATCCTGCACACTTTATAGGTCAACCGCTGCCTTATCAACGTTATGAGTGTTCCAGGAAGATTAATCCTCCACGGAAAGACAGCTACTTATGATGAATTCCTATTACTTACATATGGGTAAGTTCATTTCTAATAAACTGACTTACCCACGTGGTTGCTTCCACATGAAAAGCCACAAATTCCCCTCATCAAAAAGCACGGTGCTATTACTGTATCATCTCTTTGTTACTGGGTTATCCATTGTTTGATGAATAAGCCGCAATGACTGAATTCACATAAAAGCTGCGCCAAAAAGATTAACCGCATTGTGGCAAAGGGCAGGAGGTGAACCAACCTAAAGCTTAACGCGACTCAGAACTCGCTGCCAAACGCCCACGTCTGCAAAAAATTCCGGAACGGAACTGCTTTTTATTTCATTCGGGCTCCCTCGCGGGCATAAAACGTGATCTGTTTTTCGTTTTTCAAATTGCCTTGCAAATATAGCCTAATGATCCCATCCGAGAGGATCGGCAGAGCCGCCCTTTTTCTATCTCTATGGTTCTCTGGCGTCCGGGTCAAAGACGGGGAGAGCGGGCCCTCCGGCTTCCGGGGAAGACTCCGAGGTGCATCGGCTTCCCGTGCCGCAGGAGCGCGAGCGCTGGGGCCTCGGTTTCTGTCGCGGCTGTGCGTGTCCGTGTGGACCTTTACTGGGGAGAAAGAAGCGCTCTCCTTTTGACCTCCGTCCCTGCGATCAGGTTGCATCAAAGTTTCCTTTCTCTGTTCAACCCTTGCCAGTTTAATGTCCTGCAAATATGAAGGGCACCACGTTGGAGAAGCAACTCCGCTGCCTCAAATGCACTTCCTCTTTAAAAAAAGTCTGAGCTCTTCCTAATGTATGCGTTTTATATAAGCATTACAGTTACTGCTCCACCGTACTCCAGGTTACCTTCGCTTTCGTTTGTTTATTTCTGAATCTTTCTTGCAGTTTTCCTCCCCCTGAAACTTCTGCCTTTAAAACACCAATCTTATCTGCTAAAAGTAAATTATCCCTTTGACTTGATTAGGTCTTATTCACTGGAAGCAAGTACAGGATCACATGATGTCTTTTTTGGCCAGCGTATATAAAAGAAAAAAACGCTACAAACGGCAGGAGTAACAGGAAGGGAGATGCATTTGTGGTGTTATTTATTTATTTGATCTGTACAACTGCCTACCTCTCAGTTTTTAATTAACTACTGAAGCTGTCTCCATCCAGATGTTCTCCAGATGTTTTGAATAATAACTCCCATCTCCCCATAAGGATAGGGGGCTGATGATCATAGGAACTGAAGGCCAAACCCCTTTGGAGAGCACCAGGTTGGAGAGTTATAGCAACAATGCTTGTTACTTTCTCCTCCTTTTTTTTCTCACTAGAAATATGGACTTGAAAACCCTCACTTGAAGAGAGAGAGAGAGAGATATATATATAGTTACTGAATTGCCTTGGTGATGGAAAATCTATGCGTGAAGGTGCATCAGCTGTCAAAATCTAGCAGATATATCAGTGTACTACGGAGACAGCTTATGACCCAAAGCAGGACTCCTGTACAATATGCTTCATTTTCAAAAGTTCAGCAGCTCCATGAAAAACAGTTTACTGCCATAACGTTTCCTCTCCAAGATCTAGCAAGATTCTTGGCCCCTAATGTGGACACATCATCCTTCTACGTTTTCAAACCTAACCAGGAGGACATCCACAAGGCAGAGATGTTTTTCATTCCATCACATCAACACATCATTGATTATTCCATTTCTGCTGTCCGGATGGATCATGCCCCACAAATGTCTGAGCCTGAGGTGAGATCAGTGAAAAGGGGGTTCCATTTTTATTATTTAGATGTTTAAGAGGAAGGAAGACAAATGTAGTCAAAATGATGTTATTTGAAATTTTGAGCAGGGGGTGTTCCTTCACATGTGAAAGAAGAAAAAGAGTTTCTAAAAGTCCATGTTTTAGACATCTTTGTGTTTTTTGATTGCAGAATATCTTCGTTACTGTAAACAAATTTCTGGTCCTTGTGATGTGAATGCTGTTCTGTTTACACACTGTTAAGGGATTAAATATCCACTGAATAGTTTATTGTTTCTTTATGAACAAGGCTCAAAGATAAACAGAAGCTGAGTTCATCCTTCTGTCTCTGTTTATCTTTGTCTATTTTACATCAGTGCTATCTTCAGGTTCAGGTGCTTATTGGACTTTGCAAGAAAAGTAACAATTCCAAATTTCTTTTTTGTTTTGGGGGGGGTAAAGGGGAAGATCCCCAGAACAAAAATGGTAGCAAACTGTAAATAAAGCAAATCTTGTAAAATTGGCAAACCAAAACAGATTTTAAAAAGTAAATACCATCAGAATTATAGTCAGAACTGGTTTATAAGGTTTCTGTTCTAAACATACATTTACTATGTTTAAAACTGAATAGTGAGGTAGACAAATTGAATAAACTCAGATGTTCACTGTCCTAATACATTTCAAGAGCAGAATTTACCAACAGAATGTCAGGTCCTTTTCCTTCTGCCTTCTTTAGCCTAATGTCCTCCATATGCCTGCGTCTATAGTCCTCAAGTTTTCTAGTGAACTCAGTGGGAATTGCTGTCCAACAAGGGCTTGAAATGTGTGTTCAAATAACATTGTGGTTCAGGAGCTGAAATGTTATTTGAACACACAGATCTCTCCCACATTTTCTTCTTTCAACTTCCTTATATCAGTTTAACCCTAGCCCTATAGGAATGTGGGGAGAAGCTTGAAACACTAACCCCTGCCATTGTATTTTAACTTACTAGTTTTGTGGGCTTGAATTAAAAATATTGATCCTTCCTGGCCACCTGAACCATCAGGAACGGGTTCACTTCACTTCTGTGGCTAGAAGGTAGAGTTTAAACTCTGGAGCCTAGCTCTTCCTCTCAGACTTAGCTCTACCTCTTGCAGGAGAGGAAGGACTTCTCCTTGGCTCCATTTTAGGCTAAGAATTAAGAACCAAGAGAGAGGAGGACCGATTTGGGAACTTTAGAGAGAAGGAGGAAGGAAGAAGAATTACAGGGAGAGAAGCAACACAAGCATTTGCTCATGTGCGGCACCAAACAGTAACAAGAGTCCAGCTCTTTGTTTGCAGTGGCAGGTCATGTGGAGGTATGGATTAGTGGGTAGTGGTTGCAGAGATTGCAGCTAGCCAGGGGGGCTCTGTTTTCTTTTAAAAGGAATGAGCAGTGAGCATGATAAGCAGAGAGCTTGTGTGTGAACCTTTTTTGGGTGCATTTTTCCCATCTGATTCACTGCTGTCCCTTCAGCAATGCTAGCTGAAGGGAACCAGAAAAGACTTGGAGTTCAGGAGCAGCTACCCCCTCAAAGTGGCATAAAGATGATCAGCCACTGTGCTACTAGGTAATCCGCATTTATGGCTGTGGCTGAAGAAAAGGCGCAGAAAAGTAGTAGGAACTGCTTGGGACCAACTGTAGTGCCTTCCAAAACCCACCCATACCCTTCCCTAATAGGAGTCTGCAGATGGCACAGGATTGATCTCCAGGTGACCTTCTATCCAAGTGTTAACCAGCAGACAGAGGTAGAAGTAGCATCAGAGATCATCAGGAAGGTTTTTCCCCACCCTAAGAGAAGCAAGACACGTAAGCAGATCTCCTGCTTTCCTTTCACTAAGATGGCAAGTGCTGAGAACAGGAGCACAGAGCTAAAAAATGTCTGAGGCAAACAGAGAGGGGGGCAAACCAAGTCATGCTGTGGTGGTGCTGTGGGGCATGGGGAAAGGCAATTTCCCAGTGGAGACAATCTGTACCGCCACACAAGGGACCTTCTAAAGTCCTCTAGCCATCAAGTGAAGCAGCACCACAAATAGAACTATCTGTAATGCTCATTCAGTTGTTGGAATGGTTGAAAGCATTGATGGCACCTTTAGGTCCAGAGGCTTCTCTGACGTCCCTGGTTGGGTTACAGATTAGAACTCAGAACAAGTCCAAAGGATAGATTCTTACATTTTCCCATATTGGAGAACAAGAAACTTTACACCTGGATGTAGCACTGGCTTATTAGCTTTAGCAACAGAAAGCATCTTGGTATCTAAATGTCCAGCAACTAGGTAGATACACTGGTTAATTTGTGTGATGGAATGGACTTATGAAGGCCATGCTCAGGGAGATAAGCATGTTCTTAGCCTCCAACAGGAGCATGGAAAGTTCAAGAAGATGAGGCTGGCACCTTGTTAAGGAATTCACGGTGTTGTGGCTGGCTGGCTTGGGAACTTGGGTTCAGTCTGGTGAGATTCTGTCTTGAGGTAGAAGCTAATAAACACAACAGAACTGTATTCTGGCACCTTGTTAAGGAATTCACGGTGTTGTGGCTGGCTGGCTTGGGAACTTGGGTTCAGTCTGGTGAGATTCTGTCTTGAGGTAGAAGCTAATAAACACAACAGAACTGTATTTGCATTGTCTCGTGGAGTTCTTTGGGCTGAACCTGACAATTTGGCAGCTATTCAGATGATGGTGCAAGGGTACAAACTTTATGGCAACATCAGCAGGAATAAAAGAACTTCTGGGATTCTTATAGTAGAACTAGACAAAGAACTGGCAGCAAAACTGGCACAAACAAGTCATTGTCTTAGACTGTATCCTCTTGCATAGACAAAGAGCACTCAAAAAAGCTGCCAGAGGGCATCAACCATCCAGACTCTCTGGGAGTCAGGCAGTATATAAATTTAATAAATTATTATTAATTATTATTATAAAGCCCACTCTGTCAGAAAAATGACTGCATCAACACCTCTGTCTGCAGGGATTATCTTGATAGACATTGTACTTTCACTAAACAATGTAAAGTAAGTTTGTATCTGCAAAGATGGCTTCAGATGCGTCCATCTACAAAGGGTGCTATAACTCATACTGACCTCTGCCAGGATACTGTAGAATAGGTTCAATTCCTGTTAGCTCCATCATCAGGTCCCTGAGAACAGTATTTGGACTTACTGTAAGGCATCTTCTGCTCACCAAAAGAGGGACCAACAATCTCACCCTAGTGAAGACTACATGCAGCTTACTATGTTCCAGAATAAATACTGGAGCACCTGATTGTTGCTTACCTAATGTTTGCTTATAACTATGTCAGTTTGTATTTGGTTTGTGAATAATAAAAACATTTGCTTAAGCTGTCTTTTGGGTGAAGTCACTTAAGGTGACTACTGATGAGGAGAGATTAGCCTCCATTGGATGGCAGCAAAGTTTAAGCCTTGATGCTAGTAGAAGAGGGGAAAATAACACATACATGTCAGGACCATCTTGTGGAGATCAGAAGGAACATGCAAATACAATTCTGATTATTTCAAATACAAGATTATACTTGAAATGCCCCCCTCTCCCTATGTGAGGCCAAGCCAAGTGCCTCGCATTGGCTGACTCCTCTTTAAAAAGATCCTGGAGCCAATGTTACATTTCAGAACTTTGGTAAAGCCTAGGATTTCCAAAAAATAACATTAGAATATGGTTTCCATGTGCTCATTTTCCTAGATAGGCTATTAAGAGTTTGCCTCTGGTTTACTGAATAGCCCATAGATTTTCTAGATGGTTTCCATTTCTAGAAGGACTATTTGTCTTCTACACATATTCTTACATTCTGCAAACCTTGATATTTCTGTAGTGGTACAGAAAAAAAGTGTTTTCATCAGAAATTCCATCTGTGTCTATTGCTGGAACCAGCCCCCCTTCCAGGACTCTGCAGAGATTAGGTTGGCATTAGATTTAAGAGATCAGATTCCCTCAAATTAACCAATGCTACTGGAGAGCACCAGGCTACTAGCAACATGCCTTGTTTAAATGATACATCTTTTATTGGGACATAAACAGAATAATGAAATCACTGTAACTTTTTCCTCCAGGTTTGCTTTTTAGGAAGAAGCAATGTTGGAAAATCATCTTTAATAAAAGCATTGTTTTCTTTGGCCCCTGATGTTGAAGTCAGAATTTCCAAACATCCTGTAAGTAGCATGTGAAGATAGATTACATTCGCCCTCAAAGTGAATAAAGTATAAGCAAGACAAGTTCTAAAAAAAATCCAGTTTTAAGGGCAGGTGCTTTTGAATAAGTGCATCGCACATATCTAGATTGGTCACACACAGTTGCATTGTTAGGTGCCTATATTCATGAGAGATTAAAGAATATACAAATAATATACATATATGTTCAGTACGCTCAACTTATTTGAGCTCTACTCAGCATAAACGGTGCAGGAATGCAGTACACTCCAGTCTCATGCCAGATCACCCTGTATGCTTGAATTTGAGTAGAAGATTCCATGGGACCTGGGACTCTGCTTTATCAGGGTTTGCAGTGATGGGCAAAAGTTTAATTTGTATCCCAGGAACATAAGTAGAAATTGCTTGACATGGTGAGACTGAGAATTTACATGGCAGGCCAGCATGAACTACATAGGTCTGTTCCTTTATTATATTAAGGCACAATACCTGTGTAGGGTTTCTGTCAAGTCAAGAGCAGGATACTGGAAAAACTTGGTGTTCTCAAGATATTTTGGACTATGGCTCCAAACCAGCTCCATCCATTGGCTATCCTGGCTGAAAATAAGGGGGACTGCCTTACTGCCCCCCCCCCCGATACCTGATTGATTGGCTCTGGATCACCTGGTCTTGCATACATATAAATAAAATTGGCAAACCTAGGAAACTACTTCAGTTTTAATAGAATCTCAAAGTAGGATATAGATAAGTAGTGTAAACACTTTTTACTTGATTCTAGATGTTTTGCAGTATTGCTTCAAAAAATGAATCTGGTGTACATGCCTTTTGAGTTGTAGATTATCCACAATAATCTACAAATTTACTTTATATTTTATTTCATGTTCAGGATGTTACAGATAAATTTTTGGAATTTGTCATGAAGCATACCTCATGCATTTATGATTTTAAAATATTGTATATGGTTGGAGTCTGAAAAGCTTATATATCAAAAGTAAATAAACTTGATATTTCAGACCGAATAATTGTCAAACACATTGCAGTTTTTCAGCTCTATCAGTCACTTCCTTTTCACTCCACTGATTCAGATGCCTACTTAATTTTTTAAAAGTACATTTTAAACAGTTTCATGGATCTCATAATGCTTTGTCTGAAACAAGGAGGAAAAGCTCCTCTGATTTTTTTTCTCCAGGGTCACACAAAGAAAATGAATTTTTTCAAAGTGGGAAAACTCTTCACTTTGGTGGATATGCCAGGCTATGGGTTCAAAGCACCCAAAGATTTTGCAGAGATGGTAGAGCCTTATTTAAACCAACGTAAAAAGTAAGATTGAATATAGCAATTTCTTGGAATTTTTTTCTACAGATTTGGGTGGGGGTGGGGAATAAAGTTGTAAAATTTTGCCTTAAGGGGGAGGTGTACTTGGGCATACAAAACAATTTTTAGGTGAAACAACTATTTAAAATTGGGATTAGATACAATCCTGTTGTAAGTACTATTTACAAAATATTCCTGAGGCATGCGTGAAGTCATATGGATCTGCTTTGCTGAGTCACCTCAACTTGGATCAAAATAGCAATTCCATCTGAAGTAGCACCTTTTCTCAAAAAAGCAAACTGTTCTGCATTGGTATCTCTACTCAAAGTGGTAGTTGTCTCTGTTCCTGCCAAAGGAGAATTTACCACACAGAAATGATAGAAATGATAGATTATAAATGCTTCTGAACTAAGTTAAAAATTAGGAATGGAAAATCACCTATTTCTCTTGCCTGTTAACTTGGATCTTGTTTTTTTCTATTATGGTTATGCAAAGTTGTCGCTGTGTTTCTATTTTCTGCAGTTTGAAACGTACGTTCTTATTAATAGATGCCAAAGCAGGGATTCAGGAAATGGATAACATTGCTATAGAAATGTTAGAAGAATTTGGGATTCCGTATGTTGTGAGTAGTAACCCTTGCTTTAAAACAGTGAGTGTACAATATTAATAAATCAGGTTCTCTAAAAATCATGTAACAATAACTGGACAGCATAAATACCATCTAGCCAGACTCTATTGATTCTGTCTAGGAGAATTTTTAAAACCTGTGAAGAAACAAGAACAGACAAAGTTTTGTTTAGGAATTTCATTCCAGTTTAGTAAGAGAGGTACACACAAATAGACAAATTATATTTGTAATTAATATGCTGCTCTTACCAGCTGGGGTTTTTAAAATGTACAAAATGTACTACTATAGTATTTTAACCACCATATTCACATAAATTAATTTGGAAGTATAATGGCAAAATGAATACAACATTTCCTTCCATCTTGCCTAATCCTGGCAAAAATCCTTTTGCTTCAACATAATTTATTCTAAATATTAGCTTGAAAGAAGATGGCATTAGCTGACAAGAAATGAATTTTTTAAGCACTTACTAAATTTGAATACCTCTGCCTATATTATATGTTTACTTTATCACTGACTTGTGGACTTCATTCCTTAAAAAGTATAAATGCATAGAATTAAACCCAAAATTAGTTCCGTTTAACTTAATAGTCACAACTTACTTGTCCTGGTGCTAGTAGGATTCAGATATGGCTAATTTAGTCTGTATCCAGTCCACTGAGTTAGTGGATTAGTGGTTTGTTTGATCCACCTAGATTGCTCAGTTAGGCCTTATATTCTTTTGGGGAGAGAGAAAAGCTGTTCGTGAAAGCTAGACTCACAAAACATCTCTGAAAGTAGAAAAAGTCGGAAGAGCAAAGGACAGGATCTCATTCTTTTAAAGAACAGCCTGTGAGTACTGCTAACCTAATTCAAGTGCTAAACTCAAAAAGAATTCAAGGTTTCGAAAACTTATTTTTAAGCTATTTTCTGTGGGTTTGTTTGTGTCTTTTGGCAGCTTGTATTAACTAAAATTGACAAAGCAGCAAAATCAGTGATGGCAAAAAATGTGCTACAGATTCAGGACTTCGTAAAGAAAAATACCCAAGCGTGCTTTCCTCAACTTTTTCCTATCAGGTAACAGCTAAAAAAGTCACAGTAGGTTGAACACTAAGCAGACCATAGCTGATCTCAAGCAGGAGAGCCCTAGCCCTAGTACTGTAGACTAGATTAGGAAATTGAAAAAAAAAAAAACCCAGAAGAATACAAAGGCAAATCACTTATTGATTCTTGCCAAAGGACTACATAATTCATATAATCACAAGCAGTCAAGCCCAACTTGAGGAATCTTTAATATTTTATAAAATTTGCTATAAGCATGAATAGATTATCTTTCTAGATTATAGAACATAAATTATATGTTTAGCATATAAGCATTCAGACCTTCCCACGAGTCAAACTTGATCCAAGGGTGATTACACCGACATGTTCGTGTTACGTTCTTGCCAATAATACGAAGTGGTTGCCATTGCCTTGTTCCAAAGTGTGTGTGAGTTTCAGTTGTTACTTTCCAATCTAATCTACAACCCTGGTATAATCTTGGTTTTCCATCCCAATACTTACCAAGGCTGAGAATCTTAGAATCATGAGATCAGCCAGGGTGCTGCTACTTAGCTGAACTTAAACTATAAGAAAGAGTAATTCCTCAAGCAGAGGCAGCAAGTGCAAGGATAGTGAGAGAATGGAAAATGTTTTATTTGTATGAGACTACTAACATAATATTTCTGTCTTTGTTTCCACAGTTCTTTGAATTATTCTGGAATCCATGTATTGAGATGCTTCATAGCTCATACAGCTGGACATCTTCCATTGTCCATTGGATGATGCATTATACTCAGAAGCATCTTGCTTCAACTTCATGCTAGATGCTGTATAAATATAAATTATTTTGGAACAATAAATGCTATGTAAATTCAGTATTGTCACATACTTTCCCCTTGTTGGTTGATTAAATGTGAAACTCCAAAGACAAAATGTTATGCTTAGAAGTAGTATATGGCTCTTCCTAGCCCAGATTTTTCAGTAGAGAAACTTAAAACATTGTTATGGCCAACACATTTTAGGAAGGATTCAGACAAATTTGAAAAGGATGAAAGGAGGAGAAGAAAGAAGATCAAGTAAATCATATGATGAGAAATGGAAGAGCCTTGAGTCTTTTTAGCCTTGAAAGTTTAGTAAAGGACATGATGACAATCAGGTCCTGAATGGATATCACACAAAACTTCAGAACCCCCTTTCTGTCAACCCAGAGTGCAAGCCTCAGAATAAAGGGTTTAAGCTACAGAAGACAGATTTCAACAGAAGGGTAGAAAATACATACAATAATAGTTTGACAGTGGAATCAATTATCAAGGGAGGTAATAAGCCCCACTTGTTAGATGTGTTAAGGCAAAGGTTGGACAGTCATCATTTGAGATGCTTTTAATTTGGATCCCTGCACTGAGTAAGAGGCTGCATGTAGTGGTCTTTTCAGCTCTGTAATACTACAAATACATCACGGCATTCTAGAGACTATGTAGATGTACAAGGATCGCTTTTGCAAAAACGTCCCTGTCTTAGTCTATTTGGGGGTGGGGGGCAATAAGAGAAATTATTTTGCTGCTTTCTTTTGTAGTGTATGTTTGTATTGAATTATTTCTTAAAAGGAAAGAATGGATATATTTATGTGCAAACAGAAGACTCAGCACAATTCTACTGCATATACAGTCAAAAGCATTCCTTCCTAAAGTGGCCAGCTATGTTGATAAGACTACTTAAATCTGAGTACCTCAAAGGTATGACTTCTCTAAATAGCTTGAGAATTCCATCAGAGGCTTATAATGATAGGGCTAAAGCATTCAGATGGCTGTTGCTTCTTAATCTGCAGTACTCCATTCTGTTTAAGTCTCCAACTACTATTAACTTTCAACAAGCAGATGAATTGTTAGCAGTCATTTCCTGATTGCTGTGTCGTTTTAACTTCCAGCCCCATTTTGCCCATCAGGTAAGCGGCCTAATCCTGTTTCTTGGAATTAAGACTGAATGCAATAGTTTAGTAGATCAGTAGTTTATTAACAGCAGGATTTCGAGGAAGAAGTCCAGCTTGTGGACTCAGAATGAGCAATACATTGGAGCTGGCTTATCTCATACAAAAGTAATATGTGTTAATCCACATACACCCACGTATGTACACTCTTCACCATGAGTATTAACTCCAGAGTGTACAGCATCTTAATGCACACACTGATATGCTAATTTCATAAACTCAAAATTGTAATAAAATATTTGGAAACAGAATATCATGGAGGAGACAAGGATTTCCTGAATGAGCCACTATTTGAAGACAAAACCATAAACCCTAATACAGGATAAATAGCAGGAACTTTGGTGTGAATCTAGGAATGTTTTATGCTTCTGCTTCCAATTTGGCAAAGGGCAGAAAATGGCAAATAAGAAAACATGGCTGAATTTACACAAAATATTAAACCAAAGTAATTTATTCTGGTTTATCTAAGGTTATTAAATGAACTCAGTTGTGATGTATACAGTATTCCATTATTAAGCCAAGCATAGCTCTGCATTTATGAAAGCAACAAACTGGAAGGTGGTATTTTAATGGCACCTGGTAGAGAAATGAAAACAGCAAACCTGACTTATCACTCATTGCTGCTTAAGGTTTCAATGCTATTTTTCTCCAGGTACCCAAATACTATATAAATTAGGGCTGGAAAGATCTGGACGATCACAAGGTGGCACCCACGAGTAGGCCTTTTCCGTATCTTTTTGCTGCCCTATAGCGGCCGTGCGCATGCTTCCGACCAGATTTGAAAGCCCCCAGTAAACAACGTACACTCCACTCTTTCGGTTGCGCATGCGTGACTCTTGTCCAATGAAGCCGGTGAAAGGGCTCGTTACAGCGTCATTTGCTCAAGGGAGCATGCGCAGTAGAAGGTTGACGCAACAACGAATAGCGTTCTAGATCGAAGCCGGGCGGAAGAGTTGCTCGTCAGAAGCGCTCTTTGATTTTGTATCCGGAAGTGGGTATTCCTGTGGCTAACATGGCCGACGAAGAAGAAGACCCACCTGTAAGTGAAGTAGAAAAATAAGAAGGGGCCGGGTAGCGCAAATGGTGTGAACCGTGATTAAGGACCAACTGGGATGCTGGTCGGGTCGCAGCTGCTGGCTTAGGGAAAAGAAGGTGGCTTCTTCCGGCTTCCCGCCTCTCCTAGGTTCCCTGGGATGCTGGAGGCGATCGCACCCATCGGCCGGAGAGGGCTGAAGTTTTAATTCAGGGTTTATTTGGTATTATTTACATTAAAAGCTACATCCTTTTCGTTGATGGCAACGCATCACTTTGAATGATGAGCAGGGAAAACCTGTAATAAAATGGTATTAAATAATTCACTTGGAATAAGTTCTCTGGATTTCGGAGTTTAGGATTCCACTCTAGATTGTCATTTTATGCAAACGAAACTGGGAGTAAGCTTCCCTGAGCACTGTGAGACTTACATGTGGATAAACTTGAATTTGGTTTTACGTTTTTTGACGTAACCCTTCTGTAAATACAAGGTGATTCCCAGTCATCTCACTGAAGCTTATTTTGGAATAAACATGTGTACTAGTTGTGGGCCAGCAACACACTCCATGCATATCCTCAATCCTACTTTCTATTATCATTATTTTTGGTGAAGTCTGCAGAAGACATTAGTCTTCCTTCGTATTACACCTGCTTGGCATTTCCTTTGTTATTGACCATAGGCTATGCTGGCTAGAATTGCTGGGAGTTATAATCGAGAACATCGGAGAAGAATCACATTGCATAGTGACATGATGCTTTACAAACTAATTGCAAACATACAAGCCCCCTCATTCAAGATGCATCCAAAATAAGATTTGCTCCACAGGACCGCACTTTGGTTTGGTGCAGTTGCATGTGTTTTATGGTGGACCATTTTTTTATTCTCATGGATCCATGGCATATAAATGAGGTTGTAGACTTAAACCTTGATTCAAATTAAATCTAGTTGGTGAAGGGCAGAAGCACTATAGGTAATTACGGCTTGTTTTGTTTACAGATTTTGGTAGAAAATATTTTTTAAAAATTATATTTTCTTTTCCACCACCATTCTTTTGGACTGTTATATATTCAGAACCTCCCAGTTTTCTTATGCTGTTCTTTTAAATACAGCATAGTAATCTTAAGGATTTAAGAATAGCTATGCTGAATCAGGCCAGTCTGGTGCGACAATGCATTTTCTCAGTGTCCAGCCAGGCCTGTGATAAGCTCACAAACAAAATTCAAGGGAACAGAACAGAATCCCCCCTCTCAAGTTTTCAGCAGCCTGTTTGTGTTATGTGAGGTAATATATAGCCAGCATATCTAATAACTGTTAACAATTATTATTTTTTTAATCCCTCTTAAAGCAGCTCAAATGAATCAGCACCACCACATTTTGAGATAATAGATCCCATGGTTTAATTTTAAATAAGTATTTTGTTTTGCCTATTCTGAATTGTCCCACCATTCAGCTTCATCATCTGGATTCAAAGGGGAACAAGTGATAGAAGCACATATGGACAGTCATGTTGCATCTTTTGGCATTTCCTTAAATCATATGTATCTTTTCTTGGAATTGCACAGCAAGCTCATGGAAGGATGCAGCTTAAGGAGTTGTCAACATATGCAACACAAGCACCAACACATGCTAAGAATCACCTTTTCCCCTTGAATTCCAAATTGCTGCAGAGCCCTGTCCTAAGAATTATGAGCACGTAAACTTCTCCCCATCCATTTTTCCATAGTATTCTATTTTTTTTTCAAATTTCCTCTTTCCCTTACTTGTCATAATTTTCTCTGAAATGAGTTACTCCAGCCTGATTATAATTTGGATTCCCTCTCTGTCCTGTTTCCAGGTTTTCAATATCATTTTTAATGTACTGTGGCCAAGACTACAGTATTCATATATTTTTATGAAGGCATTATAGTATTGATAAATTTATTTTAGATTCTTCTTGAAATGATACCTAACATGGAATGTGCCTTTTTCACAATTGCCACAACTTGATTTGATGTTTTCATCAACTTTGCCTCTAGCACCCCAAGGTTCTAGTTCAGATCTCATCAATGTGAAGAGTTGATTTTTTTATTCTGTATGTATAACTTCATATTTATGTACAGTAAGCTTCTTTTGTTATTGTACTGTTTATTCCCCCAACTTCAAGAGATCTGTTTGGAACCCTTTGCTGCCTCTCTGCTTTTAACCATCCTAATAATTTTGGCCACTTTGTTTCTTAGCTTAATCTTGGGGTACACCTCTTTTTCACCCTAATTTTGGATTTGTTCTCTACAGTTTGAAGAAGATAATGAAGAAACTGGAGGAGGTCCAGATGGTGGACAGGGAAAAAGGAAGCGGTTGTTCTCCAAAGAATGTAAGTTGAAGTCAGCCTATAAGTAAGAGTAAATAAGTAGATTATTTGCATGCAGAAGATACCAGAGAACTGCCATCAATTAGTATAAGACAATAGACACAGATCAGTTTTAATGACCTAACTTTTTATAAGGCAGCTTTCTGTGTTCTCACAAGTAGTGAGGAAATTTAATCCTCTTGTAGCCTCCACTTTTGAAGAATCCCTGTGTTTATCCCTGTCATAAGCTTTTTGAATGCCACTGTTGCTGTGAAGTGTCAAGTGATTTCATCCTATCAATCTACACTACTAGGTAAAAAGAAATCGAGATGACTAAGCTATACTTAACATGATTCACAGTTGCTCATGTGTCATTTGATATGATTTGTAGCACAGCAAATGAAATATCTATTGAAAAATGTTTCAGATTTTATGAAGTCATGTAAGATGTTTTTCGTTCATTACCAGTTGTATCACTCGGTCTTGCAGTGAGCTAGTGATGAACAAGTATGGATCAACTACTGCTGACCTTTTTGATTTAAAATACTTGACTTTTACTATGTGTGCAGAACATTTGTATTTTTGTGGTTTGCATTTGCTAATACTTACATGGGAGTTTAAAGTGCACAGTCTGCTTTTCAGCCCACTGTCTTAACAGTAAGACAAAGACCCCTCTACGTACAGTTTCATTGTAAAATACCATTCAGATGAAAACTTGGTCTTATACTGAAGCTTATATAGTCAAAGTGGTGTAAGCTTCCTGAACTGTAACTTGGACTAAATAGAACCTGTTGGCTAGTTTATTCATTTGGGGTCTAGAATCAGCAGATGCTTTTCTTAGAATGTTACTTCTTCAACATGTTCTATTAAAATGATCTTTCAAACACTGGTATTAAAGTTACAGCAAGATAGTGTCATGGTTCTCCCTTACAAGTCTGAACTATACTTCCACATGTACATTTGTTTAAAATTACTATTAAAATTTGCTTGATTGGAGAATTTAGAAGAATGTGACTGCCCAAATCACATAGATCATAAGTCTTCCAGAGTGTCTCCATTCAATGCCCTCCTGCAGATGATTTTTGCTTTTTTAATTCCAGTGAGATGTATGATGTATGGATTTGGAGATGATCAGAACCCTTACACAGAGTCTGTGGATATTCTTGAGGATCTTGTCATAGAATTCATCACAGAAATGGTAGGTTCTTATAATGTGTTAGTAGTTTAGTAAACATTTGATACTACAGATGCAATATTTAGACTTTTGTTCCTTACACCACTGAGTTTTATGTAAAACTGAGAAGTGTTCAGAAAGGAGACATGTATAAAAACCTGTCATGACTCAGCCATCTAAACTTTCACTAACAATTCATGAACCAAAGCAGTGTAGTGATTAAGGTGTTAGACTAGAAGCAGGGAGATCCAGGTTTTAGTCCCCACTCAGCCACAGAAAGTCACTGGATAATCAGATTCTAGTTACTTTTTCATAATCAAGCAACTATCTTATCTACATTCAGGGATATTTGTTACAACTCATAACATCACAGAAAATGTCTTTGTTAATTTGACTTAATTGGAATGGATTTTCTTTTTGACCAATAGACCCACAAAGCAATGTCGATTGGACGACAAGGTCGAGTACAGGTTGAAGATATTGTCTTCTTGATTCGTAAAGACCCACGAAAATTTGCTCGTGTGAAGGACTTGTTAACAATGAATGAAGAACTAAAACGGGCTCGAAAAGCATTTGATGAAGCAAATTATGGATCTTGAGGCCTTTTTTGAGCTCATCTCATTTTCTGATCCACCCTTTCTGTAAAAGCAAACTCTGTGAAAAATAGTAAGAACGCTGCTGCACATTGATATAGACTATGTTGTGAACTGTTTTAAGAAAGTTAACATTCTTTTTATTATGTTGCTTGTCTTTAAAACAAAATGCTAAAATATTCTTGGTGGACGTTATTCCTTATTATACCCTGTAATTTTCAGACTACACCATTTGAGTGCTATAATTCTTGGTTTACATTCTTATTTAGCTCATGATTTTGTTTTTTCAGGTGTTGCCAAAAAGTTCTAAGGGCCATAGAGCCATTATCTTTTACCTCGGTCCCATCAAACATGTCTTTTATTTTTAAAAGCATGGTCATAAATCTCAATACTTTTAAGTTGATCTTCTTTCTTCGTGCTTCATTTTCAGTATTGTTTAAAATTCAAAGATAAAATCTTTCACAGGAGAGTACAAATGTTAACAAATAGGAACACGGATGTTCATTTTATTTTGATTGAGCTAATCTGACAGGAGCAAATGGTAAAATTCACTAAATTAAAACCAGAACTTAAGCTGCCTCTGGCTGGTAGCCATTCTATCTTATACAAGTCCAGAAGCTGTTTTTCACAGCATAATAGCAGACTTAAT